TAGAACAGCCCAGTCTCGAACTGGCAGCTATATGGGATGCCGGCATCACAGGTGGTGGTTTAACCTGCTGTGCCACAATGCTGGCCCCAAGACTTTGGTTCTTGAGTGGGAAAATGAAAGGACAAAAAGTCCCAGTTGAGTTAGTTCTCCCTGATTATGGAGCCCTAAAGATACTGCCCAGGAATTCCTGCTACAGAGTATCTCTGTCCAAACCATTTTCTTCACAGGCACTTACAAAGTGATAGCAGGATCCACTGCCTGATCTGTGCCCCAGAAAGCCCCATAAAACTCCCCTTCCTCTCCATGCAGCTGGGAGCAAAGGTCTCGGACATGCAGAGTCAAACAATGGAGATGCCTAGAGTCCTATCCCACCGCCTTCCAGCCCACGTCTGATTACAAGTCACTGAGATCTGGAGGCTGTCTATACAAAAGCTAGCAACTGTTACCCTAATATACTAGCCTTTTCTGAGACTGATTTTCTAGTCTGCCTTTCAGGTAATTTTTAAAAGATGTCTTTATTAATTTTAATGTCAGAGCTACAGGAAGAGAGAGAGACAGAGAGAGACACAGAGAGAGAAACAATCTTTCATCCACTGATTCACTCCCCAGATGGCTTCAACAACCAGGGCTGGGCCAGGTCAAAACTAGGAGCCAGGGGCTTCCCCTGGGTCTCCCACATGGGTAACAGGGGCCCAAGCACTTGGCCATTTTCTGCTGCTTTCCCCAGCCCACAAGCAGGGAGCTGGATCAGAAGTGGAGCAGTCAGGACATGAACCAGTAGCCAAATCCATATGGGATGCCGACTTTGCAGGCGGCGGCTCTACCTGCTACACAATCCCTTCCTTTCAGTCTTAATATCCTTCCATGGAATTCCTTTTCTGCTTAACTGAACCAGAGCCAATTTCTGTTGATTTCAATCATAGTCCCTGATGAACCAAATAAAAAGTATGACCAATGATCTTAAAGCATTTTATCTCAATTAAGATTGTATAGATGTTCCTTGTGTGACACCTTAAACTCAACAAATACTCACTATTGACTAATATTTAAGAGGCACAAAAGATGAGTTACAGAGCTGGTCCATTTATCATTTTTTAAAAAATTCACCAAAGCTTCTTTACTGCAGACACTCTGCTAGGCATTGCAGATATAACAATGATGGAAATTGGTCCTTGCCTCTGAAGAGTCACGGTCCAGTGCAATTAACCTTCCAAGTCTGTGTGGGAAATCAAGTGCACACGCAGCGGCAAAATGTGACCACTGGAAGCAAGAGTGGAATCTAAGCCAATAGTCTCAGTTCTTGGCCCTGTTTACCTTCTAACATCTGCCTGGGTGACGCGTGTGTCCTCTCACAGCTGTGCCCATCACTCATCACTCAAATCTATCATCTCTCACCTTCACTTCTCTGCTGAGCTGCAGACCTACATTTCTAATAATCGACAAGACGCCTTCACCTTGGTGGTCCGCGGGCATATCACTTTCAACATGTCCAAAAACCAGTTTCATTCTCCTGCCTCCCCAACCTGTGTTTCCACCTGCGTCCACTTTCTTAGTTGCTGGGTTGGCTGGCTACCCAGCTAGTTAGAAATCATGGGGTCCTATTTGATGCATTCTTTTCTCTCATTTTCTTTTATGCATTAGCCACCAAGATCCTTTGCTTTCATCTCAGAAATGTTCTCCATTTTCTCTTCCCAATTCTCTACTCTGGTTCACAATCTCACATTTCTCCTCTATGCTCTGCAGCAGCCCCATAGCCAATCCCTCTGCTCGAATTCTCTCTTCAATGCAGCATCTACTCTGCTGCTAATTATTGTTTTGACTCTGAGATCTAATCTTACTCCTCCGTTGGTGCAAAACAGACCCCTGGTGTAAGGGGCTTTGCAATCTTGCCTCCTCAACTTTTTCATCCTCACCTTTGTTAGTATAATGAGGAAATTAAAGTCTTCGTAACTTTGCCTCTGATGTATCTCTTTAACTCATCTTTCTTTACTAATTTATCATCTGACATTCCAACTACTTCTCTGTTCCTCATTTTCTGGTCATCTCGAAGAAAAGGTGATGTAGTTGATTTCTCCAAGACACCACCAGTCGTTTCTTCTCTCTGGTAAGTTTAGTTCTATTATCCCTGGCCCACTGCAAAAGCCCAGCTTGTTCCCTGTGGCTTCCCTGTGAGCGAGCATCACCCTGTATATTCTGGTAAACTATCCATACCCCTGCTTATCTCGGTGATGAAGACTGAGCTCCTGGGGGAGGGGTCCCTATGCTTATTCACCAAGCTGGTCACATCACTCATCACTTCATCACCTCCTTTTTAATGCCCAAATTTTAGGGCTGAAATAAAAGTCAAAAGTAACATAGTCGAATACCTTTTCCTCTGCACAAATCCCTGACAGGTAGTAAGTCTGGTTAGAAACTTTCTACTCTGTTGAGTAGAAACACAGAACTCACTACTCCCAGAAACATTCATTGCAGCTTCAGATATCCCCAGTTGTTAGCAGTTCTTCTTTACACTGGGACTCTAGGCCTCCCCTTGTAACTCATACTCTGGGTTCACTTTAACACAGTCACAGTGTGTTTCCTGTCCTTCTTCTACACAGTAGCATTTCAAATGTTTGCAGACACTTCCCCTGCTGCCTGCTTCAAGTCTTCTTTCAGCAGACCAAATCTTCCAATCATTGCTCACACAAAATGCAATGCCTAAACCAGTGGCTCATGGATATTGCAATTAGCAAACCATGAACCCAGTTTTCTTCCCACTGAGGTTCTCATCTCCTCGGGGGTTGACCTCAGAAATCAGGTGACTCCTGGTCTCACACGAAAAAGAATACCTAACAAATAGGTCTTCAGGCTATAACGATCAAACAATTAGAATTTTCAAAACTGTGACAGCATTTTGAAAAATCATATATATAAAGGGGCATTAAAGCAAAGAAGACTCTGAATTTTGCATTTGGGAATTAAATATAGTACTTTACACAGCCAGAAATGTTTCATAGGTTTCAAACTAATCCCTTTAAGTAAGTCACACAAGCGGCGCTGCCCTAAAAACTTCCCATGACAAAATTATCACGCTTTGAACATTTCCAACGAATGTGGAACATGGCAGAATTACGATTCTCCTCCCCAAGAACCCTAACATGTCCCTACTTACCTCTATATATGCTGCTTCTGCTGCAATGCACTTGTTCTAACAAGATTTACTATCCAGTAGTTAGAAAGGTTAAAGAGGGTTCCATCTCAAATAAAAATAACTGTTATAAAGGCACAGACAATATGGTGCTTTATGGAGTGCTGTGGGGTTTGACCTGCAACCTCTCCAGTTTTCCTCGAGCCTTCTTTTTAGAACAACACTGATTGGTGTCCTTCCTCTTTTCTTCCCATCCCTGCTGACCACTGTCATCCAAGGCTTTCTTCCACCCATCTCTCAGCTGCTGGCCCCTTTTTGTCTGGAGAACAGCATCCTCACCCAAGCTGCTCTGCACATTCTGACCTAAAGGAATGCTCTTCACATACTTCGGCACACCCTCAGATGACAAAGCTCTCACCCCATTCATCTCCCCACGTCTGCAGAACAACTGGGACCAAATTACAGAAAGTAGTTTTCACCTGGCCTCCTTTTCCTGCGCAGGCAATTACTTCTCTGCAAATGGCTGCCCTGGCCAAATAACTGTGTTCACAATTAGCTAACTGCAGGCTCAATGAACCACTTGTTCCTTCAAACTTGGCTACTGGAGTTGTGTGATTAAGCAAAAATGTATCTCTTTATTCCCTTGTGATTTACAGAGTCACAGCATAGCCCAAATCAGATCACCCTGTGTCCTTTTACAATGTCAGTATCAGCCTTTTATTCTTCATTTCCTTTTGAATATCTGTCATATTTCCATTCTTTCTCTCAGTTACATTTTATATACGGACCCAAAATTATGGTTAAATCAAGTCATCCTTTGACTAAGGTAGACCATTGTTTGCATAATACAATTTTAAAATAGAACACCTAAGGTATCAGAATAATTGCTTTGCCAAAATCACACATTCATGAATCAAGACTAAAACTAAACATTCTACATAAATGCCACTTTCTCCTGGGGATTGAGTTTCCTACACAGGGTGACAGCCAACCTTCACGTTCATTTGCCTTTGAACAGGAATACTTTGACATATTCCTCCAAATTGCTATCATCTGGTTCCTTGGATGCCACAAAAAAAAAAATAAATAAATAAATAATTCCTTGCCAACAATGGCCTCAGGTATATATCCTGAACTAGCTTTTCTACTACACCCAATCCAGTTTATTTTCTTACTTTCTATATATTTTAACTGTCATATTCTACCAATATGTACACAACACAAAACGTGCCCAATTTTCAGTTTCATCCAATGAAGTCAGCTCCCGCTGCCATGGCTCCAAACCACAGTAGAAGAAAAGTGGCCAAAAGGAATGACTTTTCATTTACGAAGAAATCAATATTAATAACAATTAGATATATTTGCTTTGGGAGTAGTTCAGACACTTTTAGGTTTGAGAAATTTGCCACTAGCAGGTCTCCCACACAGCTCTTTTCATCGGGTACCTTTTAACGCTGCTCTCCAGTTCACAGCTACTGTGCCTTAGAGTTGTCTTAAGGGGACGTAGCTGAGTAGCAGAAAGATTCCTAAGGTTCCCCCAAGATCCTGGCACACTAGCGAATTCTTCTCCCCTGCTTCAGTGCTCTCTGCATTTGCTTCCACAATTAGTACATAAAAAGATAAGCAAACACTTACAGGAGAAGTCAGGGCTGAAGGTGCAAGTGGAAAGGCGGAGGGAAGAATGAAAGGTAAGGCGACATCAGGGAAAACGGGAAAGAGGGGGCCTCCACCTTCAGCAAAGCAGACCTCCTACCAAAGAACGCAGCTTTGTTCAGGCACAGAAGATAAAGGCAGGGGGTGCACAGGCAGAGTGAGAGCGGGGACACATCGCAAACGGTCTAGGGTGCGAATGTGGCCCCAGGTTCCCGCTTACCCAGCACCAGCAGCTCCACGGAGTCCTCGTTCTTGCCCTCCAGGTCGTCGGGCGTGGTGATGATGCAGTAATAGAGCCCGCTGTCTCCCCACAGGAGTTTGCCAATTTGGAGATCTGCATCTGTGATGGCAGAAAAGAAGGACCCTGTCCTAAAACTCTGTCCTCTCCAAGAAAAACACTGAGCAGTGGGGGTTGGGGAAGGAGAGGGGTTCCCAGTGGGGCGTCTGTATTGTTCTATTTCCTTACCTGAATGGCAGTTGGAAAACTGCTTTATTTGAAAACAACAGACCAATGCCACAAACTGGCACCCTAAGGTTAGAAAATGGGAGCACAGCCAAAGCCAGGCGAATTCTAGTCGAGTTTCCGGAGTAGAGGTGATGGCTTTGAACTGAGCCTGCAGGGACCCCAAGAGCCAGATAAACTCCAGAACTATTCTGGTCTCCGAGAAATAAGCTAACTTCACAAGAGTTCTTCAAAATTCAAGTAATCAAATAGGTCATATCAGACTCCTGGGACCCGTTCCTACCTGAGATGGAGGCGGCAGGAGAACAGGTGAGACTGTTAGAAAGTCACCTGGGGTTCGGGCTGTAGCATCCCTGGCTCTACAATTTGCATGATGGACCCCTGCTCCCAGCACACGGACTTCTTCAGGAAGCCTGCTTTCTGTGTTTGGGAAAGGCAAGGTGTAGGGCGACGTGTGAAGTTCTTATGCTGGAATCCATTCCGATTCGGGTCTGAAAACCAGCTCCTGAGACTCGAGATCAAGCTCTGGGGAGACTGTTCCAAAACTCATTTCTGTATCACTAGGTCTACACTCTGCACCTTGCCACTCCGTTAAAGCATCGTGCCAGGTCTCTTGATGCTCCTGTCTCCCATTAAACCACATTTTAGCAACATGGAAGGGTTAGAGGCTGACATCCCCTGTGTCAGAGGGGAATAAACCAAGTCCCCTCCCATTCCCTGGTTCAGGACAGGGCACCATTACCGTGGACGATGGTGATCTCCCGGCCTCTGTAGAAATCTCCCAGGGTGACAGTGGAGCCCTGTTTTGAGGCTACCACTCGAACAGTCCTCCTGCTGTCTAAACAGTCCAAGTAAGGGTCCCATTCCAGGTTTCTCTTGCTGAGGGACTGGATCCGGGTAGTGGACATGCCCAAGGATTCCCCCATACGATCTTGGCAGTAGGACTTGAACTTCCACTGCACGACTGCAGGCTGATGGGAAGAGGTGGAGAAGTGGCAGCGAAGCACTGTGGGCTGGAAGAGCATGGCCACCTTCTTCTTGTCGGGCACCGTGACCTGCAGGCCTCCAACCATGGCTGCAAAAGAAAATGGACCTGTCCAAAGGGTACCCATAGGTCGAGCCTCACCTCCCGCCACACCATCACGCTTCCCATCCCTCGCATCCCTAAACCTGTGCCATCTCCCTCTCTCCCTCACCCCGCCATTTTCTCCACTACAATCAATATCCACCTGCCCTCACCCTCTCTATCCAGTCTCTGAGTCACGGTGTTCTTTGATTTCTTAGCATCTTTAATATTTCTTCTGTCCTGATTAACTCTACCACCATTGTTTTCGTTTAGGCCCTATCCATTTCTTGCTTATCATATTTCTAATTCCTTGTCTGCTCTTCCTGTCTCCGGTATGTTAACATCCAGTTCATTTTCCCTTCATAGTTAAATCTTTCTAAATCTGATTGTTATGATTCTCTTAAACCCTTCACTCATCCTCCGTGGCCTCCAGGATAACACCCAAGGTTCTTGGTCAGGCACCCTCATCTAGTTCCCCTTCCTCTTCAGCCACACCGACCTGAATCATCTCTGAGCACCAAGGATAGCAAACAACTCATTTTCTCCAGGTGCAACACGCAATTCCACACTTCCAAGTCTTTGCACCTGGAGGTTCCCTAAATCCGGAATGCTTTTTCTCGCACTTTTTTCTTTGGGAACGCATCTTTCAAAACCTAGTTCAAAGGCTTTCAGTAAAGTCTTTTCTGACCAATCAGGTCAATGCTTCCTTGTTTGTGCCATCAGTATACCCAGAATTCTCTTTTATACATTTACTATAAGAATTTCTCAACTGTTTATTTTCATATCCGGCACCCGTGTCAAACTTGTCAGGACAGGACTGTGTTTTATTTTGCCAACCTGCCTTAAGAAACTCATAGGTTCTCAACAAATATTTGCTAAATAATGACAATGAAGCCAGAAAGTAGGACTTCATGGGGGAAGTGACTTCCCCTCCAGCTGGTGACCATGCAAGGGTGACAGAGATGAAGGGAGAAAGAAGTCTTTGCAAGAAATGGAGGATTTCAGATCAAAAGAAGTAGACTAAGTTCAAAAGCTTTGAAGGGTAATCAAAAGAATAAAAAAAAAAAAAAAAGTAGATGAGAAGTAAAGATCCCAACCCCAGGCTTGGTGGCCAAGAATATAGAATTTTCATGAATGAGAGATCAGGGCAAAGGGCCTATCTGAACTTAACAGTACGATCCAGAAATGCCAAACACAGAGGACATAACTTCCTCACTTGAAAATGAGAACCAAGAGTTTCTAGCATGCTCTTAGAAGCAGAAATAGAATTATAATCAGAGGCATAAAAAGGGAATATAAAGATATGATAAAGAGATTGTGAATGGAATCCAGGACCCACTGAGTCAGCTTCCGGGAGCTCGGGGCAGAGTTTCGCACTGGCACAGTGTGAAATGTGAGACACAGTGATTCTCACTGTTCTCGCTCCTATTTTGTGAATGTGAGACAGGGAAGCACTACTTTCCTTGGGGCGCTTCCTGTCCTGTATTAGTGGCAATGTTCACAGTGATTAAGGCAAAACAAACTCATGCTCATAGCTCAAGTGTACGCTCACTTATCAAGATGTCTCCTCACTGAATTACCCCTAGGGTCAGATACCATATTTGTACCCATGTCTTCTGATGCCCACACCCATGCCTCTCTTCAGTGAAAGGCACCATGAAAAACTAGGTCCTGATACCCAATAGGAAAAAAGAGCTTTTGCATTCGGAGGAGTTTGAAGTGAACGTAACAGAGTATTTGAGATTTATCAAATCTCAAAGTGTTTGGGATCCACTATGTGCTCAACAGCTACCTACGGATAAATAAAGGAATGAAGGAGCAAGTAGGTGACTTTTAATATGAAATTTTCTAGGACTTTGCAAAGAAAACTTATTAAGTGAGTCACAGATAGCATGGGATAGTAAAACAGTAGTGGTATCAGGCAGGCAGGGCTTTCAATGAAATCTGACCACACAAATATACTAGTGGTGAGGCCTTCATGGAATGTCTTCAGCAATTTGAGACTCCTTTTCCTCACCTTTAAGACAAACATCATAATGCATGCTCCAGGGTCATTACCAAATGTTAGCCCAATAGGTGTCTTCCGAGAGTACACCCAATAGGAAAGCACTGAGACAGCAGTAGGGTTGATCTCAAAGGCTGACCCTCTGCCACATTTCCTGCCTTCCCCTCACCTCCATCCTAAGGGATCTCAATGACAATCCACCACCAGTAGCTGTGATTGTAGTCAGATTATGTGGGTCAGTTCCAGCAAGGGGCAGATAAGTCTGCCCAGAGCTCCCTGAAGAACCCTGGTTCCCATGCTTCTCTTCACCACCCCCAAACATTGATGGGGCTGATTCCATTCTCCCAGATGCACGCAGTCAGATTAGGAAAACACATTTCTCCTGACATTGTATTGCATTCATGTTTTACTTGCAATTCTTCTTTACATCTCAATTTTTCAAGTAAGCGAAGTGGGACAGAGAGGTGACGTGACTTCAGTTAGCGGTGGTTGAGGTGGATAGCCAATCCCAGACACCGTACCAGGACACACTGTGTACCTGACCTAACCACCTTCCTGCTCTGCTCTCTGCTCTGCTCTGCTTGGGAAATCACATTTCCTAGCCTTTCTAGGATAACTAAAACCAGCAAAGGAGGCAGGCGCTATACAAATGTACTGGGTGTTCTAATTTTTTTTTTTTTTTTTTTGACAGGCAGAGTGGACAGTGAGAGAGAGAGACAGAGAGAAAGGTCTTCCTTTGCCGTTGGTTCACCCTCCAATGGCCGCCGTGGCCAGCGCGCTGTGACTGGCGCACCACGCTGATCCAATGGCAGGAGCCAGGAGCCAGGTGCTTTTCCTGGTCTCCCATGGGGTGCAGGGCCCAAGCACCTGGGCCATCCTCCACTGCACTCCCTGGCCACAGCAGAGAGCTGGCCTGGAAGAGGGGCAACCGGGACAGAATCCGGTGCCCCAACCGGGACTAGAACCCGGTGTGCTGGCGCCGCAAGGCAGAGGATTAGCCTAGTGAGCCGCGGCGCCGGCCGGTGTTCTAATTTTTTGTTTGGTTGTTTGTTTTAAAGGGAGAGTGAAGTTCAGGGTTTTGTTCATTATATACTAAGAATAACCTCCTTCCCAACTCTGTTAATGAGATTAAACACTGGAGCAAACCATTGGACTTTCTTTACCAATGACTAATAGAAGTTAGTCATTCTCAGCTTCTTCCATGACACACACACACAAACTCATGTTCAAAAGATAAATCATACATTCTCAGAAATGTTTTAAAATATTTACTTGAGGGAGGGAGGGAGGGGAGGAGGAAGGGAGGGGACGAGAGAGAGAGAGAGAGAATGAACCTAACCATAAGTTCAATACCCAAATACCAGCAATGGCAGGGGATGTGCTGAGGCTATAGCTGGAAACATAATCAAGCCTTCCATGTTGGCAGTAGAAACCCAATTACTTGGGACACCACCCATTAGCAGGAAGCTGGAATCAGGAGCTGGAGCAGAGAATTGAACCCAGGTACTCCAATATAGGACTCCAATATAGGACTCCAATATAACCACTTGGCCAAATGCCTATTCTGACATCTGCCTTTTTACAGCATGATACTTAAGGGCATAGATTTTGGAGTCAGTCCTAAATTAGAATCAATGGAGTCAGTCCTAGATTAGAATCAATGCTACACCACTTCTAAGGCACTTGACCTCAGGCAAATTATTCAATTTTTATGCATTTCCACTTCCTCACTAGTAAAACCAGAATAATAGTAACCTCAGTACCTTACTGAGTTGTCTGGGGACTAAATAAACTTTTGGTGTAAGTATTTAGGATAATACCTGACATGCAGTAAGCACCCAACAAATGTACTTGCTGGAGTTGACTTCTATGCTATTATGAACCTACAACTGAGTGGACACAGACATCAAGCTGCAAGGTGCTGAGTGTGAACAGTGAAGAATAGGCAAAATCTGCACAAGATTGCTAGAATGTATCAGTAGGAATTCAACAGTGTCAGTGTATAGGTATGTTCATCACTGCATGTCACTCATGTACCTCCTGGGAGCCAGCAATGGATGGCAACCCTTTGTGTTTACACACTGGCAGAGGCATGCATACATATACAAGCACAATGGGAATCAAATCAGTTCTGGATAGATGGCAAAGACTAGGAACTCCAAGTGAATATCAACTTATTGGACCTTTGAAGACCACGAGAGTGCAAGATTAGAGATAAAGCAAAAAAAAAAAAAAAAAAAAAAAAATCCTGTTTCCAGCTCTATAGACTTCAACCCGTAAGACAAAAGCTGCCCCATTCCTGTCCTGTCAAACTTACCAGGAATCCCAATCCCACTGAAGATCAGGGTCTAGAATTGCTCTTCTGGCCTCGACTCTGAATCCCAGGAGAGAGCTTAGGTTCCTGATTCTCACCCAGCAGTATGCCTTTCCCTCAGTCTGCGTTTGCCTTACACGGAGACTGTGTTTCTACCTTGGTGCCCTCATTTGCACACTGGGACTGAAACCTTGCCCTGAATGTAGCCTGCTTGTCTCAGGCCCTGATACCTCCCCCTTCTCCTAAGGGTCGGGTATAGTTTCTTATACCCTCACACATGCTTGATCCAAATCTGAAACTGGGAAACTGCTATCCTGCTATCCATACAATGTCACAAAATACTTCTCATGGGACCCCACTCTTACCCACAGTCAGGCCCCTGAGAGATGGTAGCTAACTGGGGGGGGGGGGGGACTAGGACTGCCAGTTTCCTGTGGACACTGAGGGCTGACCTAGCGATGCCCCTCTGGCTCCCTGTTCAAGAGCTCTACTCTGGGGCTAGGTTAATGTCCTGAGCTGCAGTCTTACCTCTTAGGGTTTTCTTCTGTTTGTTCTTTTGCTATTTCACCACTGGCTGGATGCCAAAAACACAGTAGTTCTTACATTGGAGATTACTCAGGCTAGTGAAAATACAAAATGATGGTTTTGAATGCCAGACGAGTGAAATAAAGATTTTTAGGGCAGGCATTT